GCCAATTATGTCTTTAGGATATCACTGGTGACCCAGCGATGATGAACCACGTGCTCATGTTACTTTGTGATACCTTGCACCACCAATGATGGCCAATAAGATGGAGAGTGTGGAGGTATTGACCCATTAAGCCTTGGCAACCCTTCTCCTCTCGTGTTGGGCCCGTTTGCTTACCTCTTGTCACCGGCCCATGTTGTTTCTCGCTAGCCCTGTTCTGGAACCCTCTATTAGGGTTCCCATGTGACCCTCGGTATTTAAGCCATCTTCGTCCTCTTTGTGACCCAGAGGTCTTCGGTTAGAGAGAGAGTGTGAGGTTAGAGAGATTGAGAGAGAGACAGTCAGTCTCTTCTCCTTCCGGTCCCTTTGTGTTATTCTCTATGTGCTTCCCCTTTCTGACCTTGGTGTGCGTTGAGATGGCTGGGCTGGCCTGAGTGTGATTGTCCCTTCCGGTGGTGCTTGGTTGTGTGCTGTTTGAGCGTGGTCTGAGTTGGAGAGGTGAAAACCTGACATACACATGTCTTTCTTGCATGCTCGATATTTTGATGCCGATGAATCATACGGTAAAAAGTGCTTATCTTTATGATTGACAAAGTCATTGTTTTCTACTTAGAAGTTATTAGAATTCAAGATACAACACATATCTTCATAGTATGTGTTAAAACTTATATGTAATAAAAGTATATTTTTATTAATTCGTTTTTTTAGAACACAACACTTTATGTGTCCATTTAATTTTTTAGAACACAACTCGTTATGCTCTAATGACCCCTTTCAAGATTTATGTGTGATTTAAGATAATTGACTAATGATAAAGTTAACTCTTCTTTATAATACACATGTCAGTTTTAGTAAATAAGATCTGCATACTCAAAAACTATCAAGTTTTATTGAATTACAAAAATCAAATTTCAAGATGATTAGAGCTTAGAATACAGAGTACAAAATTTGACATTAAAAGAGAGTTAATGTGATTGCATAAGTAGTGCCTATAAATATTAAAAATAAATTGGGACAAAAGTGACTAAAATATACACTAAAGATTTGATTAGCAATTATTCATACAAGGAGAGCAGAGAGAATAATCCAAAAAATATGGGTAGTACTATACCTACCTTTTAGTTTTTCATTTAAAATGACTTCAGGGCGTGTTTATTTCAGAGATAAGAGCAGACCTGAGATCAATGATGAATCGATATTTAATTTTATTTAACATTTGAAAAATGACATTCTTCTCATATTAATTCCAATTAAATTGCTGACCTGAATAAAACTCTTCTTCCTTCTTTGTCTAGATTCTTTACATGTTATTCATTTTCTTTTTCTTCCTTGTTCTCAATCCAACTATAACTTTTGATTGATTTTGCCTTTTCTTCCTCATCTTCTTAATTTTAAGATTATCGTTAAGATTTCCTCTTCTTCCTCTTATCTTGTTTTTTCTTATCTTTCGAATTATCCATCTTCTTTATTTTTATGTTTGGCTATTTGCTAACTTCTTCTTGCATGTTGACTCATGTTACCAGCACTATGGTGTTGGTGCCCCAACACTGTGTTTGGAGCCTGCAACACAACCGTATGACACCACAATTGAGGTGTTTTTAAAATTCACTTTCAAAACAGTATCATAACTGCATGTGTGGCGTTTGATCCTATTAGGACTGCAACACTAACTTCTAAATTTCTTCCCCATGTTTCCCTCATTTTCTTGAAAATAGCTTCTCGATGTTGAGATTCTTTTGAGGCTTAGACAATAGCTGCTGCATTTCTTTAGCTCGTTCCGTACGGACTGACACCTCAATAAAAGACCAGTTGTTCCGGCTTACTGTTAGGAATACATTTGGGAGGTAAGAAGAAAAGTGTGGTTGTTACAATTTCTTTGCAATTTACATATTCGGGATTTTTACACACTTCTCATAGTAAACAGGGTGACAACTGACGAGGACTTCGACCCCGTTTTGGAAAACATTCAAGACGAAATTGTTAAATGAGAACACAGTCAAAATGATACATGAATTGTTTTGATGGGAATAAGTCATTTGAAATTTTAAAAGTATAAATTTTTGTAATGGATCAAGTACATCTGCTCCGTCACAACTTTAAAATAGTTGACCTGACCAAACTATTCGTTTGTATTATACAGCTACAATCCAAGTCATCAAATAATTATCCATAAACTCTATTTTATCATCTCCCCTCATTTTGACCCTTCATCATCTTATATTTTTCTCGCCTGCTCTCCCTTTTCTCTGCTCTACATTTTATATTTCTCCCGTCTGCTCTCCATGCTATTCCGCCGGCTTCTTTTTGCTCTATTTTATTTTCTTATTCTCTTGCTATAATAAAGATGGACTGATAGCAAATAAAAGAAAAGGCCAACAGGATAGTTGGAGAGCAGCCGAGAGAGAAGGAGAGCAGCATGGGCGGAGCTAGAGGGGGAATATTGTGGTTAACCCCAAATTAAAAAAAAATGTTTTAATTTTAAAATAAAAATGTTGTGTAGTTTTTTCCCAAAAATATTCTTTGTACTGGTCCAATCCCGCGCAGTGCCCTAACCCCTCCTTGGAGAGCAGACAAGAGAAATATAAGATGAAGAGCGGAGAGAATGGAGAGCAAACATGAGAAATATAAGATGAAGAGCGAAGGTGGAAACGAGTGGACTGAAGGAAATTAGAGTTTATAGATTAGTTATTTGATGACTTGAACTGACGGTATATTACAAACCGATAGTTTGGCCATGTTAGCTATTTTGACGTTCTCACATAGCAGATGTACTTAATCGACTCTAAAAGTGCAAATTCATGTACTTTGTAGTTTCAAGTGTAAGATGAAGTACAACTTTCTCCACTTGAAACAACTTTATGTACCATTTTGATCATTTTCTCATTGTTAAATTAAGAGGTCACGAAGATGGAAAAGGAAAGATAATATGTTGTGAAAGAAGTGAAGAACACGACCATGAAAAAGAAAAGAAAAAAAGCTACGGAGCTATGTCATTGAAATAGGTTCGGATGGGTGGGTAAGGTTAGAGCAGGTAACACACTAGCACAATTTTTTTTTTGAAGAATGGTAAGTTCCAATAAACTCTAAATAAAGAGTTATCTACAAAATAAGATAAAACAAAGGAAATTTGATGTATTTGGAATGAAGAATTAAGACAAAGCTTTAAGAATTTATAGGCTTACAATGACTATATTGCACATGTCTGTCTCGCATGCTCGATATTTTGTTGGCTAAGTGACTATACTACTATACTATTGATGCTTTGTTAGAGGCGTAACACATTAACCACATGCGTTTTGAAAAAGGTAAAGTTGCTTCCAAGACCCTATATATTGTAGCAAACAAAACAGGTATATATGGTCAAACATATATCATATATATTTAACTTTAGCTTAAATTAAAAGTATGAGAGAAAACAATATGATAACTATTTGATATGTTATTAAAATTCAAGATACAACTAAAGTAATGTCTTCATAGTATGTGTTAAAACTTAAAAGTAATAAGTGTGTATTTATTAATTGTTTTTTTTTTGTTTTTTAGAACACAAAACTTTATGTGTCCATTTATGTTTTAGAACAAACACTTTATGCTCTAATGACCCCTTTCAAGATTTATGTGTGATTTAAGATGATTGACTAATGATAAAGTTAACTCTTCTTTTATAATACAGATGTCAGTTTTAGACTTTTAGTAAATAAGATCTGCATACTTACAAGCTATCAAGTTTTATTGAATTACAAAAATCAAATTTCAAGATGATTAGAGCTTAGAATACAGAGAACAAAATTTGACATTAAAAGAGAGTTAAGGTGATTGCATAAGTAGTGCCTGGGAATATTAAAAATAAATTGGGACAAAAGTGACTAAAATATACACTAAAGATTTGATTAGCAATTATTCATACAGAGAGAGCAGAGAGAATAATCCAAAAAATATTGAGAGATCGGGAGTACTATACCTACCTTTTAGTTTTTCATTTAAAATGACTTCAGGGCGTGTTTATTTCAGCCATAAGAGCAGACCTGAGATCGGAGATGAAATGATATTTACTTTTATTGACCATTTGAAAAATGATATTCTTCTAATATTAATTCCAATTAATTAAATTGCTGACCTGAATAAAACTCTTCTTCCTTATCTCTCTCGATTCTTTACATGTTATTCATTTTACTTTATTTTCATTTTCTTTTTCTTCCTTGTTCTGAATCAGACTATAACATTCGATTGATTTTTCCTTTTCTTCCTCATCTTCTTAAGATTATCGTTAAGATTTCCTCCTCTTCCTCTTATCTTGATTTTTCTTATTTTTCAAATTATCCATCTTCTTTATTTTTATGTTTGGCTTTATGCTAACTTCTTCTTGCATGTTGACTCCTGTTAGCAGCATTATGGTGCTGGTGCCTCAACACTGTGTTTGGAGCCTGCCGTATGACACCACAATTGAGGTGTTTTTAAAATTCACTTTCAAAACTGTAACATAACTGCATGTGTCGCGTTAGATTCTATTAGGGCACCTCCAATGCTGAAGTGAATTGTGGTTCCACCTCAGCAAATGCAGACCTTGAAGAGAATGCCTATTCCAATGCAAAATAAAATAGACAAGGTTGAGCTGATGTGGCATTTAATCATTTGGAACGCAGTCCAACACAAGGTCCACATATGGACCTTCGGTGCAACCTCCTGACACAAAAAGTGAGTCTAGATTTACTATTCTCTTTGTTTTCTTTTGCTTTGCATTTGATTTAGTTTATCCGCATTGGAGGTCTCATGTAATTGACCGTCTATTTATCAATACTAGACCCACTTTTTAAAATAGACCCTGATCAAATTTTTGCCACTTCACCTACAATAGACTAAGAGCATTGGAGATGCTCGCACTAACTTCTAAATTTATTCCCCGTGTTTCCCTCATTTTCTTGAAAATAGGTTCTCGATGTTGAGATTCTTTTTACGCTTAGCAAGTTGCAAGTAATGTGAGATTAATGCAGGAAGTCAGCGTGGGAATTTCAAAATATTTTAGAATTATATATGCCTCTTTGAGATTAAACTGAAAGATCACTAATAATTAGTTGAGATTATTCTAAATTTTGTGCTTTTGAAATCGTGAAGAAATGCAAAAAACAATGCTACAAGAATCACCCACTGCAATGTGTTATTAGTGTCAGGCATGCTTCCATTTTCAGTTGGTTTCCATTTTGTTTTTCAACCGAGTTCAAAGTTCAAGCCATAGGACCCATGAGGTCTTCAGAAGAAATATCCCACAACACACAATCAGAGTGGAAACTTCCTGGCGGTGGCGTGTCATCAGTTCTCCTCCCCTGTCCACCACCTGAACACTCGCCATTTTCATCGTCCACCGCTTTTTCTTGCAGCCTCCCATGTTGCTCCCTCAACGTGCACGTGCTCCCAGTACATATGCTTTGGTTCCACGGAGAACCCTCTGCTTCCTGCATCAAACATGGAAGACCACCGAATTGATGATGTCGTTGATCAATTGTCGTTAGAAAATCACAACCGGTCTCTGGCAAATTTGAGGGTGTTGCATTGCCTGTATGATCCCAGGGTTTGGGATCAGAGGCTGCTGATTCCTGGATCGCCCTCGACAAGCCATACTTGATCTTCTCAATGGTTCCATCTTTGTCTTCGTGCTTGACGGGCACGGTGGGACCCGTCGGGTGGAGCTGGAAACCGATGCGTTTTTTTGTGAGAAGGTGCAACATTTCATCCTTGAAACAACCTAGCGCCGCCTCCGCCAAGTGTGGGACTTGCGGCGGCGCTAGTGTGGTGGCGATCTCTGTAATGAGGTGAGAGAATGGCTTGTGGGTAACCGGATCAATTCCCATGCCAGAAAGCTTCTTTCTCAGCTTAGTATTCCAATGATTCTTCACATCGTTGTCTGTTCTCCCCGGAAGCTGCGCAGCAATTACTGACCATCTGTAAGCAAGTTTAAGAATATTTATTTGTTATTTCATGCTATCATTAAGTTGGTTTATACTGTAAATATACATTCAGATAGAAAATTTACCATCATTTCATCTACATATACTTTCTCATATTGCTTAGTATGGTTTTTACTTTTGTAATTAGAGCTCTTTTATTGACCTCTCGCCGTATTATATATGAATATCTTCTCAACTTAATGCTTAGATTTTAAATTGAGATGTAGGACATGCTTGAATTGGCAAGCATGAACAAATAAATGAGGAACATATGTTACAATAATTTGAAATGATAGGAGAAAATTATGACTGTGGTACTCAAGGAAAGACATGGTGGGTTGAAGATTTTATACTTGGGAGATAAGTGCTCATTTTAAAATGTTCTAAATAAACAATATTTACTTATAAACTACCTTTTTGAAATGTTTGCTTATACACATGTAATCAATAAATTTGGAACCATTATGTCCTAGTAGAGATTTCACGTTGTTTGAAAAAGTAGTGCGTAAAAGTTACTAAAAGTAGGATAGTTTAATATTGCAGTTGTGTTGTACATTTTATAAAAGTGCACTCTAACTGTTTTTGAGTCAGTTCTTTTCAAAAAATGGAAGTGATATATATGAGTACTTTGAAAGGACCAAAAAAAGAAAATGAGATAACTAATTAGAGGGAGTATATTTTTAACTGAACTGGGGGTTGTTCCTCATTGTCCTCTTTATTTTTTGCATTGAAGAAAACCTTTGTAGGCAATTGTGTTTCCGATGAGAAATCAATAAGAACATTTTATTCCAAACAGCAGAATGAACTCTCTCGAGAAATTAATGAAAAAATGAAAAAATGGTTATCTGCCAAACATAATGTAACAAGAAAGCTTTTGCCTAGATTTAAATAATATTTATACTACGTACTATACGGTTATATTCTTGAGTATTCAATTGTTAAGTTTGATATCATTTTTATGGCCTTTCCTACTTTATTGTATCTTTAAAAGTTACCTATTTCCAAGAACGGAGTGGAGTGTAACAATAGTGTGTTCTTCAGCATCAGAGAATTGGCCGTGCTTAAGGTCGGGTCGGAGGTAGTTTGTCCACCTTAACCTGCAGCTCTTTCCACACCTCTGGAGACCTGAAGGACATGTAAAAACGAAAATGCCGCATGGTAATCACCTTACACTTACCAAACTGGTTGGCTATTAACTAAAGATTCAGAAGAAGGGGAAGAATCAAACCGGCGTGTTTGGGAATGAGACGCCAGTTTCGCGTCCCATGTTGAGCAATGTAAGAGGAAAGCTTGTGATCTTCCTCTGGAGTCCATTGCCCTCTCTTCACATTATCCTTCTCGCAGCACGGAATTCGTCCCATTCTTATGTAAGTTTATGGTTTTTGTACGCCTTGGCGGATTGAGAAATTCAGGTTGTTTGGTGAAGATGAATTAATATAGTAGGAGTTAGAAATATCATATCATATGAAAAAATAAAATAGGTTAACAGTAAAAGAGAGTAGTAGTAGTCATTAAGGAAATTCAAAGTTTTTTATCTAATCCGTTGGTGGGTTTTCTTGGTACTTGGTGGTACAATGGAAGGTAGAAATAATATTATATATACAAAACTTTGCAATGGTTATGGTTAGTGATGAAGGAAATGGTCATGGAACATCAATCCTGCATGAATTCATTATAGAATTCAAACTATGTTGAGCGTGTGAAATTGAGTCGGTAGTTCACTCACAAGACACCTGGTCAAACTCTTTCTATCTTTATCCCTCATAACCCCCACCCCCACACATAGTCAACCCTCTCCTCTCTCTATCTCTCCCTAGAACTCTAACAAGACACACGATTATCTATTTCTCTTTCTTATGTGTCTTTATAGTTTGACTTCATGAAGTTGTAAAAAGTTTGAGCTACCTACATATATGTTCTCTTTCATATGAAATTTTATTAACGATGAAGTTTTACTTTCATATGCTAATGATATATACATACATATATGTATGTGCACATGCACGTGTGTATAGTAAAAAATCGAAAAATAAAAAAGTCAGTGATATATATGTATGTATACACACAAACAATTTATCTTACATATATATAGAATCTAAATTAAAAAATAGATTTTATTTTGTTATGTATTTATTTAGGATAGATACCAAAGTTTTTAACAATTGACAACAAGAAATTATCATTTATGATGAATCTGTGAGGATTTTTTTATTGTGATTTCTATTCAATTATAATATATGTTATATGTTAAAGACCAATATCCTTGATGTGAGATTAGATTCAAACATGTGACCTCCTTGTTATGAGTATTACAGTGATGTCATCGATTCACAAAATTTTCGACGATGTATCATGAATATTAGTTTAATATTTTAGAAATTGTATACATCACATTTGCGTAAATGATTTTATTTCTTGGATCTACTTACTAAATAGTGAATATATCATTAAATGCATTCTACTTTTAGGAACACTAGATAAAAAAAAGTTCAAAACTGTGCAAATAAATTACATTCAACTATGTAATTGGTGGTTTTCATTAGATTATGCATAAATATGAATCTCAATCTGAAATAAAAGTTGCAAGCATTTATACATTTATGTGATGCGAGTATTTTTGTCACATGTAATGTCAATCATCAAAGTTGCTAAACACTTAGCTAAAAAAATGTAAAGAGGAGCTTATCCAAATTTGTGTCCCAAAATAAAATTGTAAAAACAATGTCTAAATAATTTGCAGAAAGTGTTTAAATGTGAAATTATGATACTGGTATATACAATTAAGATATTTTAATTCATTTCTCCAATTTTGTTATATGTAAAATACGTAGTAGAAAACTAGTTTACTCACTGGCTGGGATGATGTTGTTGTTGATGAGGATGACGTAGAATACTGAAATAACGTCATATGTAAAACATGACCATAGTCAACTCAACCCAACTCATCAGCAAATAACGAAGCAATGCGTGACATAACCTCATGACATGTGTCCACATTGTGTTGGTCACTAACTATAGTATCCGCTCGCTCATGAATCATGAATTATGATTATTTTAAAATTTATGGAACATGTTTAATGCAGAACATGAAGTATAGCACTTATTGTTAAGTGCAGAGCAACCGAATTAGGCTGATAGTAGTGAGTAGGTAGCCTAAATGAAAGGGATGTGAACAAACGTGTGATGGTATAATACCATCTCATGTAATCCTCGTAAACTTGTGGATGTATTGTTTGTGTCCCAATGACAACACTCTCCGCTCGCCTCTCCTACCGAACAGTCTGAGTGACCAATCCTCTGTAGGCTTCCTGCACCTATCGAGCTTATGAAGATCTACACATGTGTCAACAGATGCCAAAATAACGTGCTCATAGCAAAACTAACGCAATACGCAATTTGGAAAGTGATGGTAAACAATGTCAAAACAAATCAAAGGAACACGTGCCCGCCATGTACCAAAATGCTCTTTACCTGGCGATGGCTACTCTGCCAACATCACGGGTATATGGCCAGGGGCGGATCTAAAGCTTGTATAGGGGGGGCAGCTGCCCCCAATAAAGTGTCAATAGTTACCTAAAATTCATTAGGAATTTTTTTAATTCAGATAATTGCCCCCAATAAGAAAAATCAAATGCCCCCACAAACCTACCCACCGAACTCGAGTCAGCCAGAATAAAATAACTCGATGAAGCGGTAGTGCCCAGATGCCAAAATAATACTCCGTGTACATTTGAGCTTTCATAGTTTCATTAAATAAAGTGTTGAAGTATATTTTAGATGATGTTTAGATATAATAAATAAACAATATAGTTTATCCTAATTTATAAGGGTGTTAGTACAGTAATTTACTAACTTTAGTAAGTTAGAATTAACAATAAAAAATTTACAACTAACTACAAATAGTTTTTTCGATTTAAGAATTAAGAAACCCATATAAAATATAAATTTTACATGGCTACCACTCTGGTAGAAGGTTTAAGATATATAAAGAGACAAAATACATTAGTTATCAAAAAAAATTATTACATTATTTATTAGATTTTATGGACATTTTTTTGAATAATATTTCTCAATATGCTATTTCTATTCCTCAAGAATTGGTGATCAATTTCTGAGTAACTATTTTGTTTAATTTGCTTTATAGAAAGATTTGTATTTGAATCCGTCGCAAATCAAATTATAATGGATCGCTTTCAAAAGACAAAAACTCGAATAGAGCAGTTGTGATTTAGGAGATATTTGGATCTGATTCTTAAAACTGCTTCTGCTTCTTCAGGGAACAGAAGCAGAAGTTGAAGTGTTTGGGTGAAAGTGCAAAAGTGATTCTGGTGCTCTAATTTACTCCTAGAATCATTTTTTTAAAAGCTCAGAGTGACCAGCTTCTGAAAACCGATTCTTATTCTGCTTATGCTTTAAAAAAGAAGCAGAAGCAGAACCATTTCTAAACACCCTCTTACTCTTTTAGGGTTTTTATATTGTAATATACTTTATATAGTTTGAAAATTCTCACGTTCTTTATTACTACCTCCGTAACCCTAGAATCTTTCCAGTTTGACTCTTTTGAGTCAAATTTTATAAACTTTGACCATTAATTATTCAAAACTCACATTATGTTATGATTAAAAATTTATTTCATATACCTCATTGTAAAACATATTATTTGAATGCTAATTTATTATGAATTTTATACATATAGATATGTAGATATTAGAGTCAAAGTTCAACTTAGAAGACCGTGAAATGTCAAAATGGGAAGATCTTTGTGTTACGGAGGTAGTAAAAGTTTTTGCTATTCAAATTTATTGTATTAATTTTTTTTGTACGTCAATGTTACTCTGCCCCCAATAGCTCGGATTCCTGGATCTGCCACTGTATATGGCATCCATGTAATTTGTTATACATAAACAAATAAATATTTCATTGTATCTACAAAAGAAGAGTTAACGTTAAGTGCGGTAAACCATACTTGATCATCATCCATACAATCAAATGCATCTCTATAATATTCAAGTTCAGCAGCCGATGATGTGCGAGAAAGGTTAGCAAATAGGCATCTGACAAATCATGTAGTAAATATTCATACAAATCCTATAAATAAAAATGTTGATAACATTACAATATATAAACTATATTTCTAAACCATACCTACGGCCCAAAGGGTCCTCGCCCTATCGATGATGTGGTCCAAGTAGTCGTTGGGGCTGGTCATCTAGAGTATCACGGGGCGGCCTATGTGAATGTACTCCCATTATCAGATCTGTAATAACAGTAAAAATCCTTCAATCTCTATCGGCAGGCTATGACAACCTCCACAAATGCTCGGCGACAAAAGTTCTTTAAACGTAAGTCACCACTCGGTTTGGCGGCTTATAAGTTGTCATTTTGTTTGGCGATTTTCTTTAACCATAATTAACCCCAGCAGTATATTTAAATACTTTTAACCCGGCCTTATTTACATAAATACTTTTTTAATCAACATTATTTCAGAAAAACTCAAAATGGTTGACATACATACAAATATGGTATGAACGGTTTATGTCTGTAGTATTCAATGAGTGATACTGTGATAGCATACGCAAACACCTAAAATAAAACATAATCCAATAAAACGAAATTGGTAAATTGTGTGGGAACAAAATAGATTGACTTTCAATGTTTTCCATCAATTTGCAGATGTTAAAATGTTTGACTTACTTATGTGTACTCCATTTGCGGTGTGTAGCAAAAAATTAAAACTGATCATTAAAGTGTTAAGACTGATAGTAAAAAATATTTCCACCAATTATGCAGGCTAAGCTAAGCTTTGAAAAACTTTATGAGAAGAGACATTTTATAAAATCTTCATAGATTTTGAAAAGCAAAACATAACATCAAAACATCATGTCAGGATGGCTTGAGATTAAATATTTTATGTGATAAGCCTAATTTTATATCATATTCCAAATTGATTACATAATATCTCTTAAATCAATTTTAATTTTAATAAGTAAGTTGGATCAAAAACTACAAAAAATAAAATAAAATTTGTAGTGAATAATAATTAAAATTTGATTCTACTGATTTCCCTTGTAATCTATTGCAACCTTCTTCAATCATGTTATGTCTAATGTCTGCAATTAGGGGAAACACTATAGGCGCCAGGCAGGACCTGGTGAGCTAATTATAGCCCCACTAATTGATTATTTATTTGTTACTTCCAATCTTTTCAGATTCTAAGTTTATTCACCATTTAAGGAAATGCTGTTGTCCATGTTTATTGTATAAATATGTCTACTTGTTGAAATGAGATTAATTGAAGAAACCAGCAATCCCATGGCTTTGGATGTAGTTCTATTTTAGGTATAAACAAAACAAATTCCTAAGCCATATCCAAGTTCAAGTAGTTGATTTTTTGTTATTATTTTGAATCACTAAAGAAATCACCATATATCAACAAATAGCAACATTGGACTTGTTTCAATTGAAATTATTTCGGTCCAACACTAAACTAGACTTAAATAGATTAGACCAAACCAGAATTCGATAGTTGTAAAATACACATAGATTAGAAATCTACCAGACCAAAGTAGATTTAAACAAATCAGGCCATATTAGATCATATCAGATCAGAAAATTTTAGAGTAATTAAAAACACTTATTCTCATCATATTATCATTGTTATTGAGTTATAAATAGTACTCCCTCCATCCTATTGGACTTTGTCAACTTTCCTTTTTTGTTGACTCAAAAAACTTTGTCATTTTCCTATTAAAGCAACTAATTTGTGATTCTGCACATTTCTCTCTCCTCTGCACAAATCTCAACCACACAATTTTTACTATTCTTATTTCTCACCTACTTTGCACTTGGCAAAGTCCACCGGGACGGAGGTAGTAACACTTTTCCATTTTTACTATATCGGTCTGGCCCACCAAATTCTGGGTACGATGACATTTAAGTATTTAACTACGTCGTTTGGCATAATAACATGAAAATCTCATCCAGTCAGCTTCACAAGATACATATATATTTTTTCCCTCTGGATAATCTACTCTCATTTTCTGTGTATATATTGTGCTATCCAGATTGATATTATGCAAGCGTGTTAAGGAATTTATATAATGAATAATTGAGTGAGGCTATTCGTGTGGGATGTCTAAAGAGTGGCAAATTATTTTCAATCATACTCTATGGCCTATGCTGCTATGCATTGAAATATTTCTTAACTCATCAAGTACTTTGTGGTTCAATAGCATCGTTGTGACACTCCAAATAAGAATATCACATGTTCATATATCATCTTAGTAAAAGGATGTTGCTTTAACATATAACAAATACTATAATAGATTACAAAATTCAGCAAAAAATATATTCTTTAACTCATTCAGGATGGGTCGTGATTGCTACCAGTGATGAAAAGCAAGATAAGCCCTTGTAGCCCATGGTTGTGATGCTAGTGTAACCTGGGATGGGTCCCTGGTGGCTACCTTTAATAAGGCGGTAACCGAAGGTGATGCTCATCCCCTGTTGATGGCTTCTACTGCATTTATTGGTGCTCACTAGGGATGGACTCGGGTCAGGTAAACCGAACCGAAACCAGCCCGAACCAGCACTGTTCCGACCCGGACTGGACCGGTCCACGGTTCATTGACCGGTTCAGGCCAACTGGCCTGACACTGTAGAGGGGCGGTTCACGAGCCTCCCAAATCACGAACCGACCCGGACGATTCGGTCCATTTTTCACATTTTTAAAAAGGTAAATGGGTTGGGACCGTTGGGTTGGGTGTTTTGGAGGGGTTTGGGGGGGAGGAAGTAATTAGAAATCAAAAAAATAGGTTACCAAGCCCGGTAACCGCCAGGTGAACCGGCCCAACCCGGAATCGGAGCTACCCGGGCCGGTTTTCGGGCCTCACTTCTCCAAAATAAAGCCCGGTAGGAACCGGACCGAGGCCATGCCTAGTGCTCACAGTGCATTGTTGCCTACTTGTAATATCACCCCTTTGCCAATGATTTATTTGAGGCTACAACCAGAAATGATGATATTCTATCTGATCCCCCGAATGAAAATACTACTCATGTGAGTCATGTCCCAAAGTTATCCTACGATGATACTCTATTTGAGGAAAACCATGCTTTTTTACAAACTTTTTCATGACGGAATCAAACAAGAACCCGGCCAAACCTAACACAGATCACCAAGATTCACAACAATACCACCAAGTGAGATGGACTTCACATCCAATGGTCACCATAAGTCGCTCTCACAAACCTCAAGATGAATCTGATTAATTCCTATATCCGATTGAACCAAGGTTTGGCACACCACACAAGTTGGCTACAACTCTCAAGCCTTATAAGTAGATATGGACTCGGGCCGGGTGGCCCGACCCAGAACCGGCCCGGGACCGGTACTGTTCCGGCCCGGCCTGACCCGGTGGCCCGGTCAGTGACCGGTCTGGGTAGGCCCGGCCTGTGGGTTTTCCGGTCCGGGCTCGGGTCACCCAAAACAAGGCCCGACCCGGCCGGGGCCCGGTTCGGGCCAAAAACAATTTTTTTTTTTTGCAATTTTTTTTAAAGTTTTGGGTTGTGCTGGGTATTTTGGGCCATTTGGGGTGGTTTTGGGGGTTGGGGGTGGGAGGGGGGTTACTTAGGAAGAGGGAAAAAAAAATTATAATGGGCCCAGCCCGGTCCGGCCCGGACCCGGACCGGACCCGGTGGTTACCCGGGCCGGTCCCGGGTCCACCATTTCTGACCCGCCGGCCTGCCCGGGCCTAGGCCCGACCCGGACCCGGCCCGGACCCGAGTCCAACCCTACTTATAAGTCTTCACGCCCGAAGGCTACAACTTACAACCCCTATCTTCAAAAGGCGATCAAGTTCTACAACAGATGCAACATGAATATCTCAGATTCTCAGCTACTCTTGGAATTCCCACAAAAAAATTTAACTGCTAATTTTCTTTATATTCCTTGTATGCTTTATTTAATGCTTTATTTTTTCTCTTATATCTCTCAAGTCTTAACCTTTTATTAATAAAATCGGGAGGTGTTCCCCAGCACTCCCGCACCTAAGATGGATGGATGAATCATGGATGGATTCAAGTAATACACTTCAATATATGGGACTGATTTGATTTAAGTAGAGGCGATCACAAATTCAAAGTAGTGACCTGAGGTCCTAATGTCCTATAAACAACATTTATACAGAAGCAACATGTAGGTTCTGTAGCTAACAGCCGAACATGAACATCTATGGACAACGTGAATATTAAATATACATGATACAGTAATTTTTAGGAAAAGAAAATCTGAAGCAATGGCATCACATGCATGAATAATGAAAATATTAATTCAACGAAATCTATTTGGGGAAACTAAGAAGATACTGAACGCATCTATTGAAATTGCTCTTCAATACTATTCACTTTTTTGTAGTATCAATGTATCATATGCTATGGTTCCAAAACAATGCAGATTGAATGGATTATGGAAAGAGAAAATTGCAGATCCATACAATGAAATTACAATGTACCACAACTAAAAGAGGATCATCTTAAAAAGGGGTATATGTTGGAGCAATAGAAATAACTATAATTATACAAATAAATGAGACATGGTTGCAACAAAAACTTACAAACTGACTACCTCTACTTCAATACTGGGGGTAAAGTTTAGACGTATTCTTAACTAAGCTCTTGCTAAGGTGATTGTGAATGAGAGTTTGAGGTATGAAACTCCATCATAACTCTCTTCCCCAAGAATCGCCTGCAATACAAATAGTAATCTCTATGTGAGTGATGTCACAAACATATATACATAGTATATGAGAATGGTCTCCGCTGTTAGAAATGTGAAGACCATTACTACTACACTTACAGCACTTGAGGGCATTGAGTCCGTAGGAAGCAATGAAGTTCCGATGGCCTCAGTAATGTATTCTTCCTGATTACAAAAAAGGAAAATTTAAGATAAACTCGCTCTCACCCATTGGATTAGAAGTGCAAAACTTAGTTCTGCCCGAGTTCTTCCAGGGAGCCAGTGTGAACACATTTTAATGAGTGCACCACTAAATGGAGAAATAAAGATTTGTGGATCCCATCAAATTTATAGGACAAATGGATCCCTTTTCACATTAACTCTAATGAGAATGCTGGTTCAATGGTTGATAGTGCAAAAAGAACGTCCAAAAGTTCTTTCCCTTGAGGCTGCTGAAATGGTTAAAGAGGAAACCACACTTTGAGTCCCTCAAATATGCCCACATAGAAATGTAGCCCCCCTATTTTCTACAAGTCACCCCTCAATTATCCGAATTTTTTGTTATGAAGCAGCAGTCACTTCATGCATTTTTCGATGTGATTTTCATCATGTATCATCCGGAAACGGTCTCTCCGTAGGTGGGTGCCTTTGCGGCACTGGGGTAAAGTTGTTGTAAATGTGGTCCGCGTCCACAATGTAAATGTCACCCCTCAAAGACCACATTTACAACTCGAGCAATTGAGGAGTGACATTTACAAACTTACACACGAGGACTACATTTCAATGTGGGTACTATTTGGGAAAGAAAAAGTGTGATTTCCCCATGATTAAAAGTGGCTTTTTTCCCATTGTTTTGGGCACTGTTGAGAAATTTTATACTCACTCGGTCCCAAAAAAGGTTTGCCAAGTTTGACCGACACGTAAAATAATAAAGTAAAAACTGTGTGGTAGAGATTTGTGCAGAGGAGAGAGAAATAACAAGAGCCACAAATTGATTGATTAAAAGGGAAAGTGGCAAAGTTTTTGGGACAACCAAAAAGGGAAAGTTGGCAAAGTTACAAGGGACGGAGGGAGTATTCAATAATTGTTTGCATAGGTCAGGAGCTTTATCTTTAATTTCTTCCAAATCAATACTTAGTGAACAGGCTCTAATAACGCTAGAAATTCAAAAATCCGTATGTTACCTGTGTCTCCAAAACCTGCTGAGAAACTGAATTATCATCATCAAGAGTTCTGAAGTAGACCAGAACAGCATCAGTAGGCTCAAGGGCGGATTTCTTTTTCAACTTCTGGACTCTATTTATGATCTAAAACAGTAAAACAAAAAATCAGACATTTAAGATTAGATTAACTAATGTCTTGTGAATAGGACAGCTTGATGTCACCACAAAGCATTATGAAATAAAATTAATATTAAAACAATACCTCACGAGCAGCACCAGTCCTGTGTTGTGACTCACCAATCACTAAATCCAATACTACCAGCACATCACCTGTAAACCCAATCAAATAAAAACAAATGGATTACACCTCTTTAATAATATTCCATAATAATCATAACAGCAACACGAACAATAATAGTGATAATAATAGGATATGTCATTGGTTCCCATGTGGCTTCAAATCTGAAGTAGACCAAATCTGAAGCATTGGTTCCCATGTGGCTTCAAAAGAGCGTGGTGAATATGCCATGTTGTATACAACAAATAGGTCATCTATTTGTTGATCATCCTGTGTCTACAGATAGAAGATTGATAGGTACACAGTTGGATGCTCCATGCATTAGAGAAAGAGTTTACATATGATAATGGAGCAATCAAGTGTGGTCATTCAACAAGGACAACTCTGAGAAGAGAACTAGGTAAAGGTGAAAGGGCCACAACTGAAATTGAGTAGGAAGGAGGTTGCAGATTGAGCGGTGTGTGCGAAGAAGTTTGGAAAAGAAGAGGACAAGAGGTGAAAATGGTGAGACTGAGGGAGGAAAGAGATAATGTTGGATGTGAGGGTGTGTGTAGTTATACACTTATACCGAGTAATTATCCTTTTGAAGTTAAATCTGGGTGATTTTTGACCATTAGAAAAAAAAAATAAAAAAAAAATAATATGATATGTCATTACCATCTCCAGCTGCATCTATCTCATCCTCCGTTTGATTATCAGGACGTTTAAATCCCCGGATAATCTATAAGGCAAGCACAGTTTGGAAGTCAGTGAAGTACCAATGTAGAGAGTTCAATAAAACATTTTAAAAAAATTATTAAACAGTAGTTAATGTAGACCCCAACAAGTCTATCACAAAATATAACAATGCAAATAATGCAACAGATAGCTCAGCTAATTTTTTTTCCTTTCATCCAATGTAACAAATGGATACATAGTTGATATACATTTCACGCACCTTAATATCACTAGGCTTTAAAGTGTGTGTTGCAATGTTAACTTCTCCAGCCTTCTCGAAAGCCAGAATATCTTCGGTTGACATTGCCTTGACCGCCTTGGTGACTTCTCCCATTGACTTTCCAAGTCTTTTCCCTAACACACTGAGAAGCAACAAAGAATGAGAGAGGGAACTACAAAGATCCGATGAAGGAATATCGTTATATGACTGAAATCACCTGAAATCGGGTTCAGCGCGTAAAGATGCATACTCCAAAGTATTACTACAAGTTTCCAATGATTGGACATTGAGTTCCTCTAATACAAACTGTGATGCAATATAATTAACCATATAAGTTTTAAGAAAAAAACAAGTGTCCATAGAAAGACAATAACTCAATAAGTACCGATCCAGAAAAAGTCGAGAAGTAAAAAATTGGAAAGAATTTACAAGAATTTGATGCATTAACAAACTTGGATTTTCAAAAGAATCAGTTAATTTTCCATGCAAAAGAATATATTGATGGCATGTCATCATTATCAAGAGAACCAAAATTGTAAGAAAAACTTAAAATCAATCGATACTTGAAAAAGAAACAAAAGCAAGGCTATGCCTATGACCTGAGGAGAAGCAAAACAGAAATTTCAAGACCAAAGTTTGACAGGGTTTGTTTTAAGTTGTTTGTTGGATGCGGTGCAGCATCAGTTTCACTTTAGATGTGCTCAACTGCATACATTTTATGAAGTTTCTAAAGGCATAAGAAATCATTAATTTCACAAAGAAGCAATGACACTCTACTTCACTAGTCACTACTCCAAGTGATCTAGCAAGTTTTAAGGCGACAAGCATACAAACTGCTGTTAATCCCTTTACAGTAAATTGGAGAACTGAAAGCTAAATCCCACACTAATAAAATTTCTTTAAAAACAGATACCATGAAAAGCACATGTTTAAAACCAAAAAATGGTGCGCAAAGTATCAGTTGATCGCTTTCAAGGAGAAAAAAACAACGAATGCTACCACAGCAAAGAAATGGAGAGCTTTCATTAAAGGATCCACTCGCATACATAAACATACATAGACACAAGCCTCTTCTTCTCACAAAAATAAAAGTGGTCAAGTGTGGAACATAATCCACAGGAAAGAACGTCATTTCATTCAATAAGATGAAAGAAACTACAGTCATCTAAAGTGCAATGTAGCATGCACTTTTATAGAACATATTTTCTCTAAGACAGAAAAAACTACCTCTTTTAGTTTGTCTTTGATATCCTGAAGAAAATCTTCATCTGGATGTACAACAACCATGTTCCTGTCAAATCAATTGAAACAAAGCAGTATAACAGTGTTAGGAACCCTAGCAATTACAGAAGTTCACTAACAAACAGAAGAATGGCAACTAAGAAAATTGAAAGCTTCATTAATGGAGAATCCGAGTACACAGTCCCAAAGAAGGAGATAAACTCCAACTTCCCAGTCCCAGACCAAATGAGTCTAAACAGCCTACTACTAACTCCCCTTTCCAAGCTATTTATACTGTCTTTACATTTATTGTTGTTATTATTTCTATTCTTATTCTAATGGGCCTGATTCCTATCAATACCCCCCCCCCCCCCCAAACATCCACCTTGTCCTCAAGGTGGGGAGATAGAAACCAAGCTTGGAATTCAGCTTCCTCCGGGTTCCTCTCCCTTCCCAGTACCTCGCTGATGGCGGTAGCAGCCGTTCCCATACTTCTAGTCTTCTAGATGGAAAATTCTTGATCAGCCTTAGCACAGTATTTGCCTCTGATTTCATCCTATCTCTTGAGTGAGACTTCACACTGAATAGCTCATACCAAACTTCATCCTCACTCAGGTCAGAAGAAAGTTTAAGAGAACTTGAGTCATGCTGTATTTCTCTTTCTGAATTTAAGACTTCAACAATCTCCAATTGTATTTCCCCATCATGACCCCAAAGTAACATTTGTTCCATTATACTGCACACCTTGCTGTCAACTTTAAGATTAGGCTTTGTTTCTTTGTATAATGCACCCATCAGCTGAAAATCAGGAAGCTCCAATGCAAATTCAGAAGAAATAACAATTCCTGGCATTCCAGAAAATCTTGCCATAGAATGGAACGGATCACCATAGAGATTCTTTGATAATTTTGATGTATCCACAACTTCGCCTAGAGCTAGCTGGTAGTTCTTAAGGGTCATTCTCTGTATTAACCTTGTGATGAATTCAAAAACATCAGGAAAGAATAGAGCTGTCTTTGTAGAGATGTCTTCCAACATGAGATAATTTCCAGGTGCTTTAAATGAATCATGTAAGACAAGCTGGGAGTAGCCTGACATGCTCTCAACCCCTGGCTTGTCATCAACCTGAATCTGTGAGTGGTTTCCCCATATAATAGTAGATTCTCCTGAAAAGGTCTCAACCTCCTCCTCCTGAGCCTCTGTACTAGTTTCTGAAATCATTAGAACTCTAGTTCCAAAGGAACATGGTTGGATAAGCTTGTCAGTAACCGAAACTTGGCTGGAATTTAAATCCACATCCTCTGCAAGATTAAAAGAAACATAATCTGGCCATGGACTAACTGGTCTTTTCTCCTTGATTTCCTCTCTCTTATTCACTTTCTTGATTACAGATTCATTTGTCTCCATAATCTTCTTTATTGACTGGGAAAAATCTTGTGCAGATTGAGAATTAACTTTTGACAGAACTGGCGATTGCGAGGTGAGAGCTCCTACTTGCAACAATTTTTTTGAATGTTGATGCGAAGAGCTATGAGAAGAGCTATGCGAAGAGATGTGCAAAGACCTCGATGACTCTGGTTTTGCTGTCTTCCCTGTCTTCTGCCGGTATCTAGGTGGAAAATCCCTGATCAAATCTTCCTTTAAAGCCTCCCAACTATCTTCTCTCTTTTGAAAATCCCACCATTGAAACCAGCCATCTGCAGCTTCCTCCATTGCCTTTGCTGCAAGGTCCACTTTAAATCTTTCTGCAATAGCTTGGACTCGGAAATATCTTTCCATCCTCTCTATCCATGCGTACGCTTCAACCTCGTGGAATAGAGGTAATTCCTCCGTCTTTGACCTAGCTGAATTCCGAGAAGAGACTTTAGACGAAGGAGGCTAACTCTGAGTGGGAGGGAAGTAACTCTGCGAAGAAACCTTTCGCGAATCTGCCTGCGAAGAACTTTGCGAAGAGCTATACGAAGAAGGATTTGAATGGTGCAAAGTGTGCGACATATGCGATCTGTTTCGCGACTGTGAACAGTAACCTGAAGTTCGCGATTGCGAGCCATGGGAAGTAGTTCGCGACTCTGACTGCGAACCTGTGCGCGATAGCGACGAACGATGACTATGGTGTGAGGTACTGTGCGAGGAGCGATGCGAAGCAGAGGAGGCATGCGATCCACTTCGCGAACGACTTCGATGTTGCTCCGCCAATTTCGCGATCGTTGCCTGCATCGTCTTAAGCATCTCCTTCATCTGTTGTTGATTTCGTTGTTGATTCCTCTCGAATGTTTCTTTCAATCTCTTTTGGTTCTCCTCCAGTTCGTTCATCCATAAATCCATCTTCAAAGGCGTCACTTCCATCCACAGAATCAACGTGGCTCTGATACCAATGTTAGGAACCCTAGCAATTACAGAAGTTCACTAACAAACAGAAGAATGGCAACTAAGAAAACTGAAAGCTTCATTAATGGAGAATCCGAGTACACAGTCCCAAAGAAGGAGATAAACTCCAACTTCCCAGTCCCAGACCAAATGAGTCTAAACAGCCTACTACTAATGGGCTGTTTATTGTTGTTATTATTTCTATTCTTATTCTAATGGGCCTGATTCCTATCAAACAGACAATTATACATTTCATTGCCACAGCTTGAATGATGGGATTCAAAGCATAAAAAATTCCAAAAAAATACCTGAGTGGTGTTTTCAAGGGTTTATTACGGCGCTCACGGATATTACGGGCTAGGTCAATGACTGTCATCATCCTAGTAACACTTTGCTCAATGCGTTCCCATCTCTAGAGTCATACAGATTTTCGAAAACGAAATATGTTAAGGAAGTGTGTAATAATGATTCGATCACAAACTTTAAGAAACAAATAAAAAGCAAACCACTAGTACCTTCCCTTCTACTTCCGGGAAACTGCAGTAATGAATACTGCCTACTGATGCACTGAGAACTTTTCTTAAATTTTGGTACAGAACCTCAGTAAAGAATGGTGTGAATGGAGCCATCACCTTGCATGATGTTAAGAGCACCTGAATCCGCCAACCAGGAATCAGATACAAATTTAGCATATAAAACAATGAAAAATAGTGGATCGATTTTGGTAGTTTGTTCTTTATTATCGGTTACAGAATAAAACCTAAAAATCTTTAACACCCAAGCTTGTACAAGTCAAGCAAGTTTAGATAAATGTACTTGATCCAGTTTAGTCTCACGGTGCATATAATCAAGTAACTGTATATAGTATGTCCGATTATACATTAATATTTGACTACAGAAAAAACTGTTTTGTATAGTTAACAAATAATAGGAAATCACCAAACACGCTAATGAAAAATGAAATACTATGTAGCACGAGATTAGGGTATTGCTAGAATACATGGTAAAGAGTAGACAGAGCTGTTCTGCAATCGTCTTCCCCTGTACGACCTTTAAGCCTCTTACGATTGAACCGCACATAAATATTTGTCAAGTTATCAAGAAATTTCAACAGGTAAGGAACCACCTACAAGATGAACATTAAAAGTTAATATTGACCACCAGTATAGTATGCCACAACACATAACAATGAACCCAAATGCTCCAAATACTGGTGACCAGGAGAACACATAATGAAATGAACTCCGAACTAAGAAATATGTCAATTATCGAACACGGCCAATAGCGTAACGCACTTCTTTATAATACAATGATATTATATATTTATATGTATAGTCTTTTTCCCATAGTAAGCTCACTTATCTTTAAGCAAATCAACTTCTTGACTCCTTTCGAGATATCAAGCAAGTGAGCAATTATAAACTCAAAAGTCTAAAGGAGACAAATAATGCAAAAAATGACAAAAGTACCGAGAATGTGTGGTCACAAACAAGAGAAAACTTCACCCCTCCCCAATTAACCCTCATTTACTAGCCACATTAACATTTGTAAAAGAACTAACTGTGTACAATCTGTATGCAGTCATCTCTTGTCGAACAAAGTGAACTAAACTCTCAGTGGCTGAGTTGATCCATTGATCAAGGACATTTGTAGAAGATTGAAGAGTTTTTTTATCAATGGGAACAAATGCACCCAGTCCATCGAGCTCAAATCTTTTCGCGTTCTGGACAAGGAACCTGTATGCATTATACCATGGCAAAAAAACATCTTTAACCTGCAATAGAAGACAAGACAGTAGGCAGAACCATTAGCAAACTAAGATTTGAGAAAGAGCAAAACAGAAATGGTTAAAATCTTATGAGGATAGTAATATAGTACGAGTAAACAATACTAAATAACAAACTGAGTAACCAAAAATGGCATTCAGAACAGAATTTCTGGCAAAGTAGAGAAAGCAAAATTTTAGACACCAACCACTCCATACACTCCGTCTTTTTTGAACCGCAAGGGTTCAGCACGAACAACTGGAGAGTTAATCAGGTACAGTCGCAAGGCATCCTACACCAAGAAAAATCACAAGAGCAACACTTCATTAATAAACTAGGGCCTACAAATTAATAAAGAAAAATACACACTGTTATGACTTATAATATAACAGCAGCAATATTTGACACCACATACAGCACCATAATCATTGATGACTTCTTTGGGTTGTGGATAGTTCTTCAGTCTCTTACTCATCTTCTTTCCATCTTCAGCCAAGACAAGTCCATTGCAAATAAGGTTTTTAAAAGCAGGTTTTCCAAATAGTGCAGTTGACAATACCATGAGGGTATAAAACCTGCACGAAGCATTATCACAACATTATTAAATTAAATGAAATACACAACTGACAGAAGAAATGTAAGAAAACTTGTGGCCTTGAGGGTCGCCAATGCAAGAAATAAGTGAAAATGTGAAGATAATTAAGTCATCACCACTGATCGGAGAAATTATTTCCGACACGTGTCAGATTTGATATCAAGATTTGAAGCAGAAAAATAAATCCAAAACATAGAATTGGAGCATATATGTGCACGGAAGAGAAGTTAATTGAAAACAAGGACTCAACTAAAAATTCCTCTATAATTTACAGAAAAAAACAAATTGCAAACTAATGTTGAAATATTTATTGGTGAGCATATATGTCATATGTGAATGAATGGGTGTGTCTTCTTCACATCTAAACATGTGAAATGTGGCCATATATAAATTCCTTTTGTGTGTAAATGGTGTAATCTCTTTTCATCAATTCATATGAAATGTAAGAATGTTGTGAATGCATGGATGCTTGTAGACATTTTATGGATCACTGTGTCTTTAGCCCTACATTGCAACTATATAGCATATTTCTTTATGCAAATATATTTTCATAATATATTTACAAAAAAAATATAATATATATATATATACAGTTTTCCATCATTTGCAATGGAGCCAAAGATTCATTATTTTTTGGCTTGAGATTATGATGGAATAAAGCAAAATGGCTCACTAAACTGTCTGCGCTTCTTTGTTATGAAGCAGCAATCAGTCCATGCAATTTTGGACGGGATTTTCACTATGGGTCATTCGGAAATAGTCTCTCTGTGCTTTAGTACCGGGGTAAGACTGCGTACATCCAACCCCCCCTTACCCCACCATAGGTGGGAGCCTTTGCGGCACTGGGGTAAATGAAAATGATGATGATGATGATATATATTTATATACAGCCTCTGGTTCTAATTAGTATAGCAGCTCATGTAAATAGAAGTGTGTAACTTCAAATCTTATACTGCACGCATCTACCTTATGCAGGGGAGAACTTAATTGTAGCTGTAGATGATGATGGCTGTTACTCTGAGAGGATTACCGACTTTGCTTGTTGTTATGCAAAGGATGCAGACAAGGTATTATTCAAGCTGTTAAGGCAACAAATTCCTCATTATATTTGTATTTTGTTTCATTTCCTCTTGCACTGATTTTAGGTATACAGTTTGAATACGAGCATGTTGCCACAATATGTCATAAGGATTTGTTGTGCGGTTCTACTTACTAGAATGAAATGGGTGTATCATAATCAAAATAGCACCTTAAGGCTTGGTTGTAGTTGTACAGAGTATAGTAAAAGGGTCATCTTTTCGTGAATGATAGACTTTCCTGTTAAAACCGGCTATTTGAATCATTTGCATTACATTGCTTCCATTCTGGGCTGTATCATGTGTTGTTCAGTTGGTCCTTTTTGGTACTTGATCTGCAATATGCTTCCACTAATTTGAGTGGTTTGAATCATTTGTTGGGTGCTGCTAGACTATACTGGAGAATCTTGGTTGCTTTTACAGTGCAGGATTAGATTCAACTACGTTTATGTTAGATATGATCCTAACATGGGGCTTTTTCCTTGAATATTACCTAATTGAAGCTTATTTCCAAAAAAGTGACCATTTTTATAAAAGGACAAAAATGTGACTAAGGTCACATATATGGAAAAACATGATGTCACTGCTAGTTTTTTTATGTCACTATTATATGTCACTATCAGATTTTTATGTCACATTTGAATGTCATAGTAATCGTCAGCGCCACCACCAGGGTTGGTGGCAGTGCCACCCTGTAAAATTTTCTCGCAACCTTTTCCGGCGAAACTGTGCACCACCACCAGCGCCCCTGCCAGCCACATTTTTCATGTCACTACGGTTTTTTCATGTCACTATGATTTGTCACTGCCAAATTTTAATGTCACTTACGGACTGTCATCAGAAAACATGTCACTATAATTGTTTCCACTCAATGAAATTGTTGCCGCCAACACTGCGGCCGATCAGCCGACACCCTGACCCCACACCTAGCCCCTGCACACTCGGCAACCGCCACCGATGACAACCGCCGCCCTAACCGTGACCACACCAGCCCCTCCCCAGCCCACCAGCCCCCTCCCCAGCCCGCCAGCCCCCCTCCCCAGCCTGCCAACCCCCTCCCCAGCCCCCCTCCCCAGCCCAACAGCCTCCTCCCCAGCCCCTCCAGTCCCCCAGCCCCCCTCTCCAGCCCCCCAACCCCCCCCTCCCCAGCAATCGCCGCCCATTCCCTGCCCAGCCCATCGCACCCTGGCTTAATTCCTCCCTAGCCCTGCCACAACCCCTTCCAATTCAGCAGCCCCACCTTCAACAATCTCCTCCAAACCAACCATCTCACTCGTAAGCTTCGGCAAACAATTTCAATTGCAAAATCATCCTCCTAATCCCAATTAACAAAAACCAAACCCTAATCTCGTAATCCCCAATCTCAGTTATTGAAAACTAATCAAGTCATTTCCGATGATCGTAGAAGAAAACGTTAATGATAGGAATTGAAGCAGCGGTGGAGGCAGTCAATTGCAGCGGTGATGAAGAGGAGAGCGATGGAGTTAACAGTGAAGAAAGGGGAAGGAGTTGCAGCGGCGGGGTAGCTGACGTCGCCATAGCTCTTTGTCGCTGAATCGATGCAGAAGAAGGATGAAGGCTGGTCTCCATCTTCGTCGCAGGGTCTGGTCACCATCTTATTCACAAGGGTCTGGGGTCGCCATCTTCGCCGCAGGGTTGCAGTTGTCGAAGAATTATGGGTAGCGCATAAGATGGGCCTTAGACGGAGTGCTGGAGAGAGAGAAGGGAGACTTTTATTTTAACGGGTCACTTTTTTGTCCAGGTAAAAACAGGTCATATTTTTGTCCATCCAAAGTGTACAAGTAATATCTTGGCCATTATTTCATCGAAATATGATATCTTATAGTCTGTACATCAAGAAAACTACTATGAAGTAAACTTACCATCCACGAGTTTGATCAAGCCCCTCAGCCACAAAATGCCCGGGAAAGTTGTTTTCAAAGAGTTTAACATTTTCAAATGGATAGTGAATATAAGCATATGGCATGGATCCACTTTCGAACCAGCAATCAAACACCTGTAGATTATTTTTAAAATTACATGGTTAAATCAATAAGCGTGAACTTGGAAAAGACAGATGACAGAACCTCAGTTGATATTTAAGATGTACATATATCTGTACAAAGGCTTGAGCATGCAGTAATATGATGGAAAACCAACAAGCATCTTATCGTGAAGAAAAAAACATACAGGGTTCTTTCTTTTAGTGCATGAAGAACATAAAGCATTAAAAAGTAGACATCTTAGAGAATCACTTTAACACTAAGCCGGTACTTAATAGAACCCAGTAGACGTATTCTGGAAGCAACTCAATCCACAGGGCAGGTGATGTAGTCTCAATTTAATCTTATTGAGTCTCTCAGTCTCTGGATCAATATCTCACTCCAATGAAATTCACCATTAGGTTTAAGAAAATAAATTTGACCTTGTATATACTATATATATATATATATATATATATATATATATATATATATATATATATATATATATATATATATATATATATATATATATATATATATATATAAATCAAACCTTATATATATAATAGCCATGTTGATTAAGTTTCGGCAACATAATATATTCCAGACTAAATGAAATGTGTGCAGAGCATTGACATTAACATATATAGAAAGGGAGTTCCTGAACGTATAGAAAATATAAATCTGCTTATAATGTCAATTGATGACACAAAGTTAGCACGGGATGGTCAATAACCAATGGAAGTCTATAGTGTAAAGAGATACATGGCCATATGGGTGCCACTTCAGATTTGGGACATATTGAAACGAATCACTAGCAGCATCCCCTCTAAAAAGATAAATAGGAAGAAATGAAAGGTGCGAATCTACTTTGTATTATGTTATGTAAAACTGAATTACTCTTACTGTGTTAGCAAGGCAACTTAAGTGGGTGAAAAGTAGTTCAAGATATGATCATATGACATGAACAGTAAATATATTCTGTAAGATGAAATAAGGAAATAAACTTATTAATGCAGCTAATAACTGATGAAATTTCCTTACATCCTCCACACGATGAAGAACACCAAACTCAGGCCCACGACTAGATGGGATGGTAATATGATCAATCTTATGACGATGCAAGTCTGTCACCTGCAGAGGAATGAAAGTCTCAATTTAGCACTTGTGCAAAATCTAAGCATTTAGTATAGCTTAAATGCTTTAGCAGCAAAAGTGTAATGGTCTACATTTAAAAAAACACGAGACTTTGGTGCAATAACAGAAGCTGAGGGCAAAAATAAGGTCCAATTCAAACATGAGATGCCACATAGGAAAAACAAATTTCTGGCTCACAGTCACATGCACGGACGAAAGATAGCCATTAGCCCATAACTCCATTAGCCCCAAAAACTATAAGCCAGTTATTAACATGCAGATGATGAGAGATATACAAAGAAAAATAGTAGAGCAAATGTCAATATCAAAAGCTATGAAATGCAAATTAAAAATGGCAAAGGTGAACATCATGGAAAGTGTAACAGTTTTTAAGAACGCAAGATGGAGTATCATACATATAATTAAATCATATCCAAGACATAACAATTGAAAGCCTCAGCAACAGACAAAAAACAAACCTTTTCACCAGAAAGTTTTTCCAGCTTTTCAATGGAATCCATAACAACAATCTCCTCGCCGTCCTCACTGACCCATACAGGGAGTGGAGTTCCCCAAAACCTACTCCGACTAACAGCCCAGTCCCTTGCATTCTCCAGCCAATTATGAAACCGTTTTTCCTGTCAAAAATGTGATTAAAAATTATCAGATTAAAATGAATATTAAAGCAACTGCATTGTCATACAATGCCATTCTGAAAAGCATGCTTGCAGTCTTTCGCAATAATAGATTTGTCCTTTACAGAATACGGTAGAGATGCATACATCCAGAAAACTTAATTGTAATCAAAAGACTTTCAAACAATTTGTGGCAGTTTTCCAGTGATCTATCCGAGAAAAGGTAAAAATAATGAAAGTAATCCGTATATAAAAATTTAGGAAACGTAGCTAGCTCTTTCATGTGATTTTTGGCACAACCGCCAATTCACATAGACTATTGGCAACAATCTTGATTATTCTGTATGGCATACTCAAAATTCATATGTACAGAGCAACAAGTAGTTTAAAAGTATAAATTTTGTATGTCGCTGTGATATTGCGATCATGTTTTCTACGTTGATATTTCTGACCATAAAAGAAAATGTGGGGGGTAGGCCATACTGCGACAGTGTGGATATAGAGATCAACCCCCAATACCACATAATCAGCACAAGATAAAATGTATGCATCATATTAATAGTTCGAAACCTAAAAGAGAACTCTAACCTTCACAAAATCAGGAACCCAGTATGTTTCTTTATTGTTCTTTAACAACTGACCCTTTATCTTCTCTACTGCAACAAACCTAAACACGAGGGAACAAAACTTGTTACATAAATATGCAAAAAGATACTCTGTAATCTGTAATAAAAGGAAGACTTGCGATGTTAAGTACTGCTGCAACCAAATGCTGTCTATGTTAAAAATGCAACAATAACAAAGTATTGCAGAAGTAATACAAAGTTGATTTAATACCAGCTGGGCACTGCTCTGTAAATGAGAGGAGTATCAGATCTCCAACAAAAGGGGTAGGAGTGCGTAAAATTTCCAGATTTTACGAGCCTTCCCTTCTCCTGAAAAAAGTGCAGTGCTTCATAAAAGTCAGTCAGGAAAAAGGCACTATGGATGCATGCAATAAAAGGAAGGAAATGGAAACAATTAACATATGATGATATGAACTGAAGGCAGCTAATCAGATATACTGGTCGTGTAAGGCAACAAATCCTCAAGTACCAGAAAGGACCAGCTGAACAACAAATGAAGCCCGGTATGGAAGCAAGGTAATGCAAATGATTCAAATAGCTAGTTGTAGCAGGAAAGCCTATCATTCACGAAAAGATGACCCTTTTATCTTATACTCTGTACAACAACCAGGCCTTCAGGTGCTATTTTGATTATGATACACTCAGTTTACTGTAGTAAGTAGAACCCCATAACAAATCCTCATGACATATAGTGGCAACACAGTCGTATTAAAACTTTATACCTAAAATCAGTGCAAGAGGAAATGAAACAAAATAAAAATATAATGAAGAATTTCTTGCCTTAACAGCTTGAATAATATCCTTGTCTGCATCCTTTACATAACGACGAGCAAAGTCGGTAATCCTCTCAGTAAAACAACCATCATCATCTACAGCTACGATTAAGTTCTCTCCCTGCATAAGGTAGATAGATGTGTGGGATATAAGTTTTGAAGGTTATACACTTATTTACATGAGCTGCTATACTAATCAGAACTGGAGGCTGTATATCAAAATATATTTACATAAAGAAATACGGAGTATGTTATATAGTTGCAACGAAGGGCTAGAGATACAGTGATCTATAAAATGGTTACAAGCATCCATGAATTCACAACATTCATACATTTCATCTGACTTGATGAAAAGAGATCACAGACAAAAGGGCTTTACTTTATATATAACCACATTTCACATGTTTAGATCTGATTATCTGAAGAGGACAACCCATTCACATTTCCTAACTTTTCTAACCACTTTATATGAATGACCTTAACTACTCCATGGGGTATAAGTATAATAACTATTATTACTATTGTATAATAATATATTCATCATCATGATCATCATTTCCCCAGTGCCGCAAAGGCTCCCACCTACGGTGGGGTAAGGGGGGGTCGGATGTAGGCAGTCTTACCCCAGTACTAAAGCACAGAGAGACTGTTTTCAGATGACCCATAGTGAAAATCGCGTCAAAAATTGCATGGGCTGACTGTTGCTTCATAATAAAAAGAAGCGCAGACAGTTTAGTGAGCCATTTTGCTTTATTCCATCATATTCCCAAGCCCAAAAAATAGTGAGTCATTTGCTCCATTGCAATCGTATAATAATATATTAACAATAATAATATTTCTATAATTAATATTTCTATAATAAAATAAAACTGATGGATTACTGTTAAGATATGTGGATAGGATGCAAACATTTATCAATTAATTTTTCCATTTCATATCATAACGTGAAGTTTATGATTTTTTTTATTTAAGTTACATTATATTGGCATCAATTACATATTTAAATTAGAAGGTAACACTTACTCAACTACGTTCAAGTTGTTTCGAAAGATATGCAAGGTGAACGTTTGCATCAAACGAGAAGAATCTAATTTAACAAACTCGAATACCTTGCTAATTATCTTATGTTCAACACACACACGATAATCATCTTCACCAAATGCAGGAGCACAGTGAACAATACCAGTACCACTATCAGCAGTAACATAGTCATCTGCGATAACTCTGAATGCAACATTGGAGAATTCTGCAAAGTAATCAAACAATGGTACATACCTGCAAATAACAGAGTAAATGTCTGGATAATAGAAGAGTAAAAGGTAAAAGGAACAAAAGTAGGGGATCTAAGGAAAATGTTAGTCACAAAAGAAACCTATACCGTAGGATAGTAATATAGTATGAGTTCACACTAATAAGATAAAGGCTTAAAATCCATATTACAACTCTTGCTACGCCCTCACTTTCAAACAAATTGATCACTTGCAGATTGAACTGATAAAAAAAAATCTAGCTTCATTGCATCATCCATCAGCAACATGCCAACTGCATCATTGAAGATTTACCCCTTTCTTTTTCCTTTAAAAGAAACTTACTAATATGATACGCTATACACACAGTATTCAAATCCTTTAAACCATTCTTAGATGAATACATTTTGTTTACACTTATAATGCACAATACATTTTGTTTACACTTATAATGCACATGTTCTTCTGTCTGCACAACGAAGCTGGTTTTGAATATTATGCTGTATCGGAAACATGCACAAAAAAGAATGTATGAACCACACTACAGGTCAAACCAGCTCCATGCTAACTTTCTGCACCAAGTCATTAATTTATTATGAATTTCCTACAAGCAATGAGTCAATCCATCTTCATGATATACTTGAACAGAAATTGAATAAAAAAACACCCGCATAAGCAATAATCACTGTTTTGTCTGATAGTTACATGTTTCCCATTGGTAGTAACAAATACATGCCACAGAATATTAAGGACATGAATAGAAGTGGCTTGTAATAATGAAATGTAATTAAGAACAAGGATAAATTCTCACTTCTTTCCAACGAGTGAAGACCCGGAGATCTTGTCCAAGATCTCATAGGTGTCTATATTCTTTGATTTACCACTGGAGGGCTTGGACTTCGGATTTGAGTTGTGGGTATCGTTAACAGAACCATTAGCAGTTCCTTTTTTTGCTTTTTCTAAAGGAAGCTCAGATAACCTAGATTCAGCAACCACGTAGATCTTCCCATCAAACTTGTTGCGAACCTAAGTCATTTACAACTTCACTTTAGGTATATATGCATGGAGTGCACAAGGCACAAAAGAAACTTCCCTAGCTGATACAGTGGAAAAGCACACGCAAAAATAATATAGTGAGAGTGAACAAATTGATGGATATGAAAGAGAACATACAAAAGAAGCACTCATTATTGATTACCTAATGAACAAGACATGTCAAAGAAATTAGACTAAGAGAACTACATGTTGAATAGTTCTCCAAAGCTACGTTGTATAACTTGTATTATATAAACAAAGGATGAGAGACAGAAAAAATGAAAGGAACTTCGTAAAGACAGTAAAGTATAAGACTTAAGCCATGAGCTCAGGCATAAGGTTGGTATTCATGAAGACATCAGTGAAGATACTACCTAGCTGGATAGACTGAAATAGGGTTTGTGTCAAGTAATTGACTAAAACATGGAGTTCAGGATACATCTGTGGAGCACCATTCGTGAAGTATTATAAAAATTGTTAATAAAGCACATAGTAAACTAACCTTCAGATACACAAATTTAGAATTCACGCATAGAGCAAGATTACTGGGGAGAGTCCACGGAGTTGTTGTCCAAGCAACGATGGATGCACCATCTAGGTCATCGACTATGGGGAAAGATACCATGATTTCAGGATCAGGTACTTCCTGTGCACAATGGCAAGATATAAAATTAAGTAAAATACTAAAATGTATAAGAGAGATGGCAGAAACATAAGAGTATAGGAGATTCAAATGTCTAGAAAGTATAAAGTAGATAAAAACTGTATATTTGGAGCCAAACAAGGATATCAAAAACCAAAATAAATAGGATTAGATGAAGCCTTGTTTTGATAACTGAAAACGTGATCATTTCCATCCAACTATTAATGGCATTCTTGACTAAACAAAATTAAGCAATTCTCATAAAAATATGTGTCTCAGGAATACAGTATCAAACTATCAATTAAACAAGTCAAATAAACGAAGAAGTTATATATAGAAACAGGTCTGCCAGAAATCAAGAAGGCTAGAAAACCCAATTTTAGCAAAAATTAGAAAATGACCATATATTCTGCTACCAGAAAAGTACCACTATCAAATACAACACTGGATTTGGTGCTGTGTTGCTTTGTGAGGCCTACGGTTTGATGATAGTAGTATAGCACCATAAAAAGATCCTTCTTTTTCCCATTATTTGATAACTAGGAACATTGTAAATGGCAACCCAAGTCCCCAACTATGTTTATGGATTCCAAATATTTAAGGAATCTCAAGTTTTCAAAATGATTTCCCATTAGGAACAGAGTGCCTGAATTCCTAAACAAAACAAAGAAATACCATCACTATAAGTAACAAAGATTATTACCAGTGGAAACTATAGTAATAAGGAGTGTGGAGTGTTTAGTTGGTGGGCTTGAGATGTGAAAAACAAGCCTGGTTCCTTTTTTGTTTGGTGAGATTTTTAGTGCACACCTTTGATATTTGAAATTGGGAGTTGAATGCTTTACCCCAATTGCATCGCCTCTCCCTCTGGCTTCCCACAATGTGAATTTGCTATCGTACATTTTTCGTTCTGATTACTTCAAAAAGCACCCCCTTTAAGAGTTCTTGCATTCATTTAAATTATATACTTATGATCTTTGTTTTTCAAAATACACATTAAAGTGCAGCATTAGCAGAGTGGATGCTAAGGTTAAAATAAGTGCATCAAGAGCGAAGTTTTGAGAATAGAGCACAAAGGGACAGCACAATATACCTTGTAACTTGAATTTGCTTCAAAGTTTGATAAAGGAGTTTTGCAGCCAGTGCTATACGGCATAACCTGAGAACCATCAAATGAAATGGGCATCAAATTTCAATATAACAATTAAGCACTTACAAATAATATTCAATGACGAACCTTGAAGCCTTTATAGACAAGGCCTTTGTCAAACAACTGGGCGAAGACCCACCAGACGCTTTCCATGAAATTCAAATCCATGGTTTTGTAACCATGTTTGAAATCAATCCAGCGCCCCGTCCTGACAACAGTCTCCTCCCATTCCGCAACATACCGTGTAACAATCCCCCTGCATTCCTCATTGTATTTGTCGATGCCCATCTCAATCACCTCGTGGCGGGTCTTAATCCCAAGCTTCTGATCAATCTCGTGCTCAACAGGCAGCCCGTGGCAGTCCCACCCAAACCGTCTGGTGACGTGGTAACCGGTCATGGACTGGTACCGCGTGACAATGTCCTTGATCGTCCCAGCTAGGATATGGCCGTAGTGTGGTAGACCTGTGGCGAAAGGTGGGCCATCATAGAAGACATATTCCGGCATATCTTTAGTCCGCTCTAGCTGAGTCTCGAATGCCTTGATTTCATCCCACCATTGGAGGATTCTCTCCTCCTGCTTGGGGAAGGAGAAATCTTTATCTTCGCATACATCATCCATGCTGGGAATCTTTGAATGTGAGCAGTTAAGGTGCCACTGGGTGTTATGACCTGATAGTGTTCTTGAGAAAACAGTAGGGTTTTATGATACTCGGCAGTCCGCAATACACAAACAAAATGATGTTAGAGGCTATAACACAGGAATAATAATAAATAATAATAAATAATAATAAATAAATTATAAATAAATAATAAATTATAATAAATAATAATAAATAAATTATAATTTAGGAGGTTGTTTTAATTATCTCTCTTCTTATTTAAGTGATTTTATATAATTTAGGAGGTTGTTTGGTAACGCTGTTTATCGGCTTATCATACTTATCAATCAACTTTTTCACCAAACACGTAATTTTTACTTTCGCGCGCTGAATTATGTAATAAGCAGAAAAAGTAAGGTTGAAGTTACTTTTCTGACTGTATTGGCTGAAGTTACTGTAGATGACCATTTTAGCTATTTTTACATATAATTTTTTCTTTATTTTATTTATAAAAATATATTTTAAAGGTATTTTTTTCTTAAATCAGCAGAATCATCCAATGCAGCGACTTAAGCCAGAACTTCATAAATTTCAACAGAATCAGCCCAATTAGCTCATTTTCGTGCTACCAAACAGGCTCTAGGTAAGTTTTTCTCTGCGATGTCAATCACAATATCAATATCTAGACGGTCTTCTTGACATTGTGGAGAAAAAGATACAAAAATTTTATAAAATCATTCAAATAAGGAGAGCAATAAATTATTTGTTAATATTTATGTGACTGTCTCTCACACCACATGTGCACCGTACACACTGTAGCATTGGAGATGATCTTAGTATGTTACCCTCGATCATAGTTAGTTAACTTCGGAAAGTAGGAATTAATGCACCAAACCAAACCCTTGATGAAATATAAATTGGGATTTAAAAAATGCGTCAAACTCCTGTGTGTTATAATTAGTCATGCACAAACTCCCTTATATGAACAAATTTAATTGCAAAAAAATGAAAAACGATTAGTTTTTTTGTATAATTTAGAAATTTTGACAAAGTTGCATGCATATTCAATCATATTATTAAGAAAAATGATTTCAAAATTGTAAAATTTGTTCTTATAGGGGTTTTGCGCATGAATTATTATAACACATTGGGGTTTGACGCATTTTTTAAATCACAAGGAGCTAATGAGCCGAATTTATATTTCACGAGAGGGTTTGGTGCATTAAACCCTCGAAAAGTACATAAAATTGTATAATCCGTAAATAAAAATAAGAAAATATGACAACACTTATACAGTTTTAATAGACAAATATACGATCATTTTATACTTGGACTAAAAAGTGAGTAATATAACTTTCTGTTCTGTTCATCCATGCACTCTTCTTCGCATAAGTCTTTTGTCCCTTTCAATTCGCAAACATCTGGAATTGTTCCTCTTCGCAGCAATCTGGGAGTTGAAACCTTCTGCAACCATGGATCTGGGCGATGACATCCGATGGTAGATGGCGTCCAATGGGCGAGCCATGGCGAGGGATGGCGAGAATGACGGCGACGGTTTCCAATCGCCTTCTTCGCCCTATATCTTCCTCTTCTCTGATTTTTAGATGTCTTCTTCGTGACTAGGTTACTCCAACGGAGGTGGTAAGATTTTTTCAGACATGTTGCCGCTGCGGGTAGGGTTCTAGGTTTCAAATATGCGATCGCTGGGATTTTGGCGGTGCGAGAGTTGGGGAGGAGGCTAAAGCGTGCTGACAATGATGGCCGGTGTGGGGGGTGGGGGCGGTGCAGGGATTGGGGAGTTGGGGGCCAAAGCTGGGGGCTGAGGAGGGGTCTGGGTGGGAGAGGGGTTGGGAGTTGGTGGCAGGTGGCGTGGTGCTGGAATGTGACAGTGGTGTAGTGATGGTGGTGGAATGGCCTGGTGGCGTGGTAACTGACCGAAAGTCGGTGGCCAGAGTAATTTGTGTGTCACAGCGGAGTTGTCACTGCGGAGATGTCACCGCGAAGTTGTTATTGTGACTGGCGGCGGTGGCCGGATGGCGGAGATGTCACTGTCGCTAGAGGTTGGGCATAGATGTCACTACAGAGTTGTCGCTGTAAATGTGTCATTGTGGTCGGCGGCGGTGATCGACAGTGGCGGTGACCGCTGGCGACAGCAGTGACACGGGTGATGGCGGCAGAAATGTCACTACAGAGGCGTCACTATGACCGACGATGGCGGAGATGTCACTGTCCAGATTAACTCCGAAAATGTCATTGTCCAAAAATAAATGTGATCACTTTTTGGAAATTAACTTTAGTTTAGTAATACTAAGGGAAAATGCCTAAAAATAAGGGACGTTTTTAATTGTAGTATTGTCCATGGCTCTTTGAGCATAATTTATTAGTCTTACATGCGCTACATGATGGTGAACTGCCTTTGTCAGTTTCTCTTAAATAAGGTTAATTTATGGATTATATTCAAGTGTTTAATTTACATGTGAGATTTTTTACTTCGGAAATTGCAAAAATGGTTGAGAGCTCCATGGGTAAATTATTAAGTGTTGAGGAGCTGCAATTTGAGGGTATTTGGAATTCATATATGCGATTGGAGGTCATATATGGATAGAAATAAGTCTATGCGCAGGAAATTAAAACTATGTAAGGATGAGAGGGGATGTTTTTTATATATTTTAGATATGAGAAACTATGAATTTCTGCTTCGTGTGTGATCTTATGAGCATACAGATCGTTTTTGTCCATCGGAATACAGTAAAGTAGCTGGGGAATTGGTCAAACCTTACGGTCCATGGATGTGAGCAGTGAGTGAAAGAGGTGCAGGAATGGGAGAAAATAAATGATTGGTCGAGACAGACATTCAAGATGGAAGGGGGGCAGGTAGGAGGGAGGGGTCTGTGCATGTATAAGCTGAAGACTTGGTGGGGGGTTTTCAGGTGAAAGATTCAGCAATGGTCCTTGTGCAAGGGGAGTCTTCCAAGAGTTTGGGGTGAAAATAAGTAGTTAGTCGGGCCGGAGAGCCAAAGAGAAAGAGTGTTGGAACTCCATGAGCAGGAAGGACAAGATGCGGGTGCAATGGCGTATCATCGAACTATGTTTTCTGGTCATTCTAGCTTGTCTGTTTTCTCTGGACTAAATGTTACTTGTGATTTTGGTGGTATTCTAACATAAGCCAATTTCTCTTTAAAAAATTGTAATATTGTATTGCAATTTTTTATTCTGGTTCAATGTGTTTAAGTTCAGTTTGGTCTGAATTGGTTTGATTTGGTTTAATAGATGTTTGTTATATGTGAATTTTATATTTACCAAAATTTGGTCTAATCATATATGATATGATCTATTTGGATCTGGTCACTTGGTCTGCTATAGTCTAGTCAGATCTGATCTAAAATCAATCCAATTAAAAACATCCAAAGTTCACCTTGAAAGTTCTCTTTTAATCTATTTCAGGTTCATTCCCAATATAATAAAATTAGGTCATATGTAGTTTTTATCTTTGTGAAAGAACATGTCTCAAAAAACTCTACAATAATCATTTAGAATTTATTTGTGAACACATTGGTTTGTGCACATTATTATCACAAAACTCGAATTTTGTTAACACATACAACAAAAATCGATCACACAAACAACTGGCATTTGAAGTTAATCATCATCACTCCTGATTTATGCATTCTACTGCTAGAGTTTTTCACAAATTTATTAATTATGCAATATGAAAATTGATAAATTGAATGGAGATTTGGAGTATGACTAAACTTTAATCTCCCCTTAAATAATTGAAAAAAGTGGCATTGTTTGGCATTAGTATGGTATGGTACTGTATCATTTGAAAATGAAACAGTACCGAACGGGTTTAGGTCTAAGACCAAACCGAACCGAACCATTTCAATAGTCACGGTATGGGTATGAATTCGGCAAAATATTGGATCGCCCCGAACCTTGCCCACCTCTACCTACCACAAGATAATGTGCAAAACTGAAAAACACGACAATTATGTACGAGTTGAATATGATGTTATTATGACACAACCTAGAGAAAGAAGTTCAACTACATACTATAAACACAGTGGACAAAATCGAAGACGACCTTAAGAAAATACTCCTTTTTATTGTCATAAGGTTATGAACCACAACACGTATGTAGTACTACAATCTTGATTAGTATGAGGACACACAGGGGGTCAAGCTGGATTTTTTCCTGGAACGAAGGGATCCGGTGACTAAATCGATTCAGTAGCATCAACTTGTGGTTCTTATATATTTTTATGACTATGTTTTGTGTTATTGTTGTATACATGTTAGATAGTAAATAATATTCAAATTGATGATTCAAAATGTCTCATTAATTAAGATATTCTCATGGTATGTTGAGTTTTCATAATAATATTTGTGGTATATGTGTCGATGCATATGGAATACATAAGTCAAGTACGTCTCACATGGATCTAATCCTATTAGACAAACTTTTATGTTAGCAAACAATTCATTTAAATTTTCATATTTGTTGCCCAACTTTTAGATTATATAAAGCATGCATGAACATTTCATTTTTTTAAGTACGAGCGGCGATTTTATGTGCAAGGTGCGATAAGTAATGCACAACTTACCTGTGTTCTCTTAAAGCTACTCTTACACAAATGTCAATTGAAATAATTTGTTTCCCCCCTGATTATCTTGGTTTGGAAATAATTAAGCCATATCGTTTAATTAATGAGGCATCACTCCGCCCCCTGGATTGAGACAAGAGAGGGGGGGGGTGCGTCTGTAACAAAAATATAGTTATGCGGTTTATATTAAATTGATCTAAAATGAAAAGGTAAGAATAAATTGAAACCACACAAATATTACTAAATGTTGGTATCGGACAAACTCAGTGGGACGAGTGAGAAAAGAAAAGAATGGACAATTATAGAGGGAGGACGGAGTAACATTTATTCCAAATTAGACCATGCATATATGAGTTCCTTAATACACATTTTCTAGTTCTAATTTTATCATTTCTACATGTAAAATACTGGTGTCACATAAAAATAATACAACGTATCATAACAATTACTAATTTGGGATATTGGGCGTGTTTGGCAATCGGCGGTTAGCGGTTACCTATTAGCAGATTGTGTTCGGACTGTTAGCAGCGGATTGAATCAGCG